TTTTTTCCAGGGGTGATGCATCGGTGGCTGCGCATCTTATGGAATTTTGTGCAATAAAGGATATGTGTGAATGTGGCTACGACAAATATGGCAATGCGCTTGGAGAAGTTGAACAGATTCCCAAATATGACAGGCTGCGGTGGAATATCACTCCTGAATTAAATGTGAGAAAACCAAATGATCTTTTACATTTTGATATTTAAATGCGAAATTGAATAATTCAAGGAGATACGCTGATTTACAGGGCACAATATGTGAGGGAAAAAACTAAAAAGTGGGCATTTTCCATTTGTCTAGCTTAGCTACTACTGTGCTAACAAAAATAACTTAAACAACGAGGTTGATAAAAATTTTTTGTATATTCGTTTATATGCGTGCCCGTTTGCGTACTTCGGGCTAAACGTGTATGTGCGATCGGTTGCTGGAGAGAACCTCAGTTTTCCGAAGCTTGTTTTGAACGATTGCTTTTAAGTACATGAAATCAAAAGGTCTTTTTTTAAAATCCAAAAGAATTTTTCAAAAGATCTTTTTTCAAGTGTCCATAATTTGGATTTGTATTAATGCATTTTTCATTTAAGAGCACTATAATGAGCAGCTTTGAAACGGCGAGTGCTTTGATCGAGGATGTTGAAATGGCATTGTTGGTTTGGACGGATTTCGGTAAAGGCTTGATCAAAAAACTACGAGTTTCACCGGATGGGTTTTTGCAGTTGGTCCTACAACTAGCTTTTTATCGCGTGAGTTTTATGTTGTACTGAGTAGGTGTTTCCAAGCATACATGAAAATAATGGACTCCTGTAAGAAAGAAGAAATGATAAGCTCCTCAAAAATTTTATAGTTTTTATAAAATAGAGCGAAAAATGTCTAATTTTTATAAAAATTTATATAGAAAACTAAAAAATGGGCGGTTCTCGTGAAATGCAAGAAGCCGAGATTTTTCAGTGCACAGCTACTTGCCGGTGTTGGCGGAGATGCACCGACACATGCGTGCTTTCGGAATACACTCCTGCGTACCGTTATATGCAGCCTTCTGTTTCTGCTTCTGGGAGCATTTGGGTCGTACACCAGCATTCTCTCTTCAGACCATCTTCCTTTCAAACTGCTGCTGGTCTTCAATGACGCGTGTTGGCCTCCGTACCCTTTCGCTTTCCCGATCTTCCTCTTTAATTTGGAAGAGATTGGGTTCTTTAACTTGCATTCAGAAGAATTTAAATCTTGGAGTTATTTCAGTGATAACTGTAATTGTAAGAACGAAGGGAGCGAATGGAGTTGGTGGGGAGAAGAAAGATAATAAGAGAAGAAGGCAAGGCTAAAGAAGGAAAAATAAGGAGACTGTGAAGCTAAGGATGTGTAGTAACAGACCCACAGAAATGTATATACCAAATGTTATGAGCAGTTTTGTCAACAACCATTCTGCATGGTTTCCATCCCTTGAAAACACAAGTAAAATTGAGACACTTATGTACAGCTCCCGTAAGCACCAGTTATTGTAACGAATTTACTAAACAGCAAAACTGGAAAGAGAGAGGGAGAAAGGAGAGAACGTGCAGAGCTTAAATGAATTGAAAAAAAAAACTATAGAAGAGCGAAGGATAGGAAAAGAAAGAACTCCTAGGTAGTGACGGAGCGGGGTTGGCGGTGCGATCGTGCGTTTTTGTGCGAAATTTGAAGTAGTGAAGTCGGAAAATGTATGGATGGTTCTTACTTTACCTTAAATTTGTGCATTAACGTAAATATTGCATGAGTAAAATGAATTGGTGGCCGGTCGTTCATTCTGAATGGATCTAGCCGTTTTAATTTCTGAGTTGGCAGTTCTCCCGTCAATACCTTCATGTTCTGATATGCGAGAACCAATCGTACTTGAGAACTGGATTTGAAATCCTTAATCATACGTTGACAGCATTTCCTTAAAACTTCAGCCTCCCAGCTTTTGTGGTTTCCGGTTTTCCCGCCAAAATTTCCACGTGTTCGTACGTGAGGCTCAGACGTGCGTGAAAGTTGGTGTCACATTCCCGAGGCAGCACTTGACCACAAAAACCATTGCAAAAATTCCGCGTCAGAACTTATGTGGTTGCCAAGTTGAAATACTGGAACACACACATACACACGCACACACACGCACATGGGACCACAGATTCACAGGCACAAACATATATAGCATGAATATGCAAACGCATATAAACACTGATGCTAAAGCGAAATAAATAGCAACACGCACCAGACTAGCCGGCGCGATCATGCGTTTTGTGCAATTCAGCCCATCG